CCCCAAAACCCCAAAACCCCAAAACCCCAAAACCCCAAAACCCCAAAACCCCAAAACCCCTTCCGAATTGATGGAAATTGAATCCAACTATTTCTTTGTCTCAGGAGACTCTTGTGATTCTGGATTAGAGTATCTTTCAAGCTCTAGCTCTGATATTTGTAATTCATCATTAAGTTGACCACAATCTTTGATGAATACCTTGGTAAGAGGATAGTCATTTTCTCCTGTCTCAATTTTTTCAATTTCTTTAACATGCTCAAAACCTTGAATTACTCTTCCAAAAACAGTATGTTTTCCATCAAGCCAGGAAGTCTTTTTAAAGGTGATAAAGAACTGTGATCCATTGGTATTAGGCCCACTGTTTGCCATCGACAGCAATCCTCCATGAGTATGAGGATACCAGAACTTCTCATCGTTAAATTTATCTCCATAGATGCTCTCTCCTCCAGTACCGTTTTGCTTAGTGATATCACCACCTTGGGCCATGAATCCTGAAATAATTCTGTGGAAAATGTTGCCTTTATAGTGAAGGTTCTTTTCTTCGGTAGATTTCTCACCAGTGCAGAGACATCTGAAGTTCTCAGCAGCTCTTGGCGTATGCTCATTAAACAACTCAAAAACTACTCTTTTAGCCTCTGCATCCCCGATCTGGATGTCCAGAAAGACAATAGGGTTTGAAGGATTATATTCTGGTAGTTCATTCTCATACTGAGTAATATCAGGGTCTTTCTCATTATAAACTCCTTGAGAGAAGAAATTCGAGAACATTTTTGTTTGAGATTTATCATAAGCCTTCTTCTCATTCTTTCATGTTTGGAACTCCTTACGAAGCATTTTATCCTTGGGGCTCAATTTGATGGCACTCTTTAGGTCAGCAAGAGCATCATCGTACTGCTTTAGTTTTCTATTGGCGCTAGATCTGTGGTAAAAAGCCTTTGGATTTTGGTTGTCAATTGCTAATGATTGAGTGCAAGCCCTCACAGTTTCAACCCAGCTTTGTGATTTATTTCAGCAAACTGCTATATTTACCAAAATAGTCTTTTTCAGAGTCCTACTATCCGTATTATCGTTCTGGATCGCATCAAGATGACTAATAGCTTCTCTATAAAGACCTTCAGCTTGGGCAAATTCCTTAGCTTGGAATTTTTGTCCTCCTTCTTCCTTCAACTTCATTGAAGCCTTTACTCTCTCTTCATCATTCATCATCCATTTAGCTGGTCTTCTCTCCCGAGTGTTGAGGAGTTCCACTGTGAACCTAAGGTTTGCGTTGGAAGGAATTTTAGGAAGGCTTCCAATTTCGCCATATCCATACTCAGGTTTAATACAAAGATCTGCTTTTTCCCCGACCTGCATGTCCATGATACCTATCTCCCAACCATCAATGACATGCCCAGCACCGATGATGAACTTGAAGCCTTCGTCTTTCCCAATGCTTGTATCGAAGACGGATCCGTCTTCGAGAAATCCAGTATAATGGACAAAAACTTCGTTGTTTTTGGCAGGTTTTGGACCAGTGCCTGCACTGATCACTTTCTTGACGACTCCACCGTCCTCGGTGAGAGTGACTTCAGAAAGGTATTCCCCCTGCTTGGCCTCATCTACTTCCATTTTCTCCATTAAGGCTTTTCTTGTTAACAATAATTTATTAAAATGATGGGGTTTTGGGGTTTTGGGGTTTTGGGGTTTTGGGG